ACCAACTTATTTACACAGGCGCAACTATTGACATTTTTTCTAATACTACCCCAACACATAATTACAATATAATCTTTTCTTTGTCTAAAACGTATTCTATTACCTTTGTACTGTGCAACGGAACTGTCTATTGAAACTGAAATTAAACAAGATTTACAAGATTTTCAGGTTTTATTCCTAATAATAAGACTCGCAAGTGTCTCAATTGAAGACATAATTGGTGACCCCGGCGTGATCGACGTATAAATACGAAAATCAACAAAATCAAGATACGAGGTGTCGACGTGCCAGGTTATCTAAAGTTAACGGCGTCGCATCCATTATTTATCGAAGACGAAGAAGAATTCATCATTTCTGGTTGTCGTCGAGTCCGGCAGCATTCTACGAAAAGATAAGTGTCCTTCCTACAAACCACGTTATTAACAATTCTTTACTTCGTTGCCTCCACAGTGCATTATTCATATTTTATAATTATTTGGAATCAATTATTCCAAAACAGTGAGTGTTAATTCCTAATAATAATTAACAGAAATAAATGCCGATTTTTGTTCCCACAGGTCATAAGACCAAAGTTCAAACGAATTCAAGTTCAAGTTTATAGACTTATTCAACCTCTTATTACGAATAATAAACAAAATTACTTTCTCATTATTTTAAAACAATTTCTTTTAACTTATTTAAAATTTTTCGCTACATTTAAATATATTAAAAATATTCAACTAAAACGCTAAAAGTTTATCTAAGCTATAACGATTACGATACTACGAAATATATCCCTTTTGAAACTATAATAAATAAATAATTATACATTTTAATCATAGTGCCACGTGTTCATGTGCGTTCAATACGTAGTCATACTCTCAGTTATTTAAATAGCTGCACTCTTAGAGCACCATACTATTTCACTTTTAGTCATCCTTTCTGCCGAAATTTCCAGGTGCCTGGCAGGACGCTGGTTTTGTGCATCGAGCTATTAGCGACGCAGAACCGGTTTCTTTGTTGGGAGTATCGCCTAAGGAAGAAGAGTGACGCATTTAATTTACCTCAGTGCAACTAAGTGGGATAAATTAATAACTTTTCGAATTTTCAATATTATGAATTAACTTAATTTAACTATTCGAAGTTATGGTTACTGTTTCAGATAAACTTATTATTAAATATAAGGAGTTAAGCTTAAATCGTAGTTCCATAAGAGGCCAGATTACAAAGTTTAAAAATTATTTAACAACATTAAAGTCAATTCAACTATCTAGTATTAGTTTAGTAGAATTATCTTTAAAATTAAATAAATTTGAAACTTTATCTACTAATTTTTTTATCTTTGCTGTAGCACATACGTCACTTGAGTTACGTCATAAGCAAGAACTATTTCAATCCAACGGAATCGCGTTTGAAGCCATAGCCGATTCGCAACAACATCGTAGCACAGGCTTAACGCTCAAGCACCATTAAGGCCTCGGCCTCGAATTTTGCGGGCAGCGGAGCGGCAGCGGGAGCGGCAGGATCTTACGCGTATAATCAAATGGACCGACCCTCGAATACAGCGGTGCCCGCTGCCCGCTAGTTTGGAGAACAGTATGCGTTGCCGTGCCGCCGCCGCCGCCGCTCCGCTGCCCGCAAAATTCGAGGCCGAGGCCTATGAAGATTTGCAACCACCAGCCGGCAGTTTCGTCAACGCTGCCGAAGCAGGGCCAAATCAGATAAGTGTCTACCTTTTCAACAAAATCTCCGTTCATCCATCTATCAATCATCCATCTATCAATCATCATCATTATCATACCACACTATTTTTATAGCTATCCACCAAGTGTACAAGCTCATATCCCGTAAAATCAAAATTTTATTGCAACCGTCAAAATTCAAATTTGCCAAGTCATCGTAACATAAATCAACTTAACTATAACTTTATTGCTTCACTATTGCTACAAAACTAACGCTAACGTTTTATTCCAACGTCTTAAACGCACTTTTTTATCGATTATCTTTAAAAAAATTCAATTTATTTCCTGATACTTCTGTAAATTTAACTGCCACAATTCGCAACCTAAACTTAAACTACTTCATAGTTTCATACGCATACCATTTTATCATTCATTTAAGGCAAATATTTAAACCACATATTGCCGACGTTTTCAGCGTACGGGAGTGTTTGCCGTGCGGGTTGATGCCACGCTGAGAACTGGCGAGCGGTCAGTCTCTGCAGGTGTCCGAGGCAATTAGCTCATCGCTAGACAAAGGAGGAGCGTATGTAAAAACTTTATTACCCACTAGAGTGAAGTGTGTGTGGCGTTTGAATAGATCAGCTGTGCCGGTCATTGATTCTTATTAGTACTTACATTTGTTTCTTTTGTTCGCATTATAATGTCTACTTTAAAAGAATTAATTTTAAAACGCAGTAGTATTAAAGGACGCGTCACTAAGTTTAAAAATTATATACTGTAACAGCCTTTACTTACTGTAACTGTAACCTTCACGTCAAAGGCTCTGTATTACAATACAAAAATTAAATAATTTATCAAGTTTAGACGCGATTCAATTAAACGAAATAAAGATCAAATTAAGTAAGTTCGAATGTTTATCGAGCGAGTTTAACGACGTCAGATCGAAATCTCGAACGGCGATGTTTTAGAATCTGAGCTAGATATTCGCGAGGAGATTGAGAATGACATCGATAGTAGTATTTACATTGCTCAAAATATCATTGCACGGTATTCCAAATCTACGCAGATGTTAGAGGACGAAGAAAGCAGGCATTCCCAATGTCAACGCGAACCACACGGCATAGGCTTTCAACTACCATTAATACAAGTTGCGAAATTTGACGGAACCTATTTCCGATGGCTTGAGTTTCGTGATACTTTTAGATCTCTTATTCATTACAACGAAAAAATCCTACCTATTTATAAGTTTTATTATTTAAACTCATATTTAGAGGCTGAAGCCGCTCGTGTTATTTCTAACTTGGAAGTTTCTGAAATAAACTACAACAAGGCGTGGAATCTACCGTGCGAGCGGTACGACAATAAGAGACATTTAATAAATAACCACCTCAATGCTTTGTTCAATATTGAACCGTTAAGTAGGGAATCCGAACAGTCATTACGATCTTTGATTGATCACGTCAGTAAAAATTTACGTGCTTTAGCAAGTTTAGGCCAACCCACAGATCAGTGGGATACGTTAATCATTCGTTTAGTTAGTTCAAAGTTAGATAACCACACAAGTATGAAGTGGGAGGAGCATCGCAATATTCTAAGCGATATGCCAACCTTAGATTAATTCCATATGTTTCTCAAGGACCGTGCTGATGTACTAGAATCATTTAAACATAACAAGCACATTTCTACTAGTACGTCATCGCCTAGCAATAGTAATAATTTTAAGATTACGAAACATCAAAAACCGTTTTCATGCACTTCAAATTTAGGTATCAATCAAACAAATATAAATCGTACTCGTTGCTTGTATTGCAAGAGTACCCATTTGATTTATAATTGCCCTTCATTTTTGCGAAAACACCTGAGTTGAGAATTGCTAAAGTTTTCAAACTTAAGCTGTGTACAAATTGTCTCCGTTCCGGTCATAATACACGTCAGTGCACCTCAGGGTCATGTCGCGAATGCAAGGGACGTCACAACACGTTACACAAAACTACATAGTAACGATTCTTTGTCATCACATTTAAATAACAATTCATCTTCTCAGACGGCAGAAGATGAACTAAGCGTCAATTTTTCTAGACAACCTTTTACGTATGTCACGCTGTCAATAGTAATGATTGAAGTCATGAATCCAGTCAATTTGAAAACTGAAACTTTACGTGCTCTGTTAGACAGTGGCAGTCAATCTAGCTTCTTAACTCAATCTTTAAAAAATAGATTAGGATTGGAATCCATACCCACGAATCTTAATATTGTAGGTTTAGGGAACGTAGCTAGTAATCATATCAACGAGCGGTGTCAAATAAAATTTAATTCACTATAAAGTGACTATAGTGTTTTTCTCACGTGTTTTATCATGCCTGAGCTAACGGGCAATCTTCCTAAGTCTTCCATAGACTACAGACAATTTAATTTGCCTCCACATATTAATCTAGCTGATCCTAATTTCTATACTCCTGCGCATAATGCATTAATAGGTGCAGATTTATTTTGGGAGATTATAGGGAGGGAACAAAAATTATTTTATTAAATAAAACATTTTTCGCAGTTCACAGTTCGGATGGATAGTTTCCGGTCCTATTTTATTGAACTGTGATTCAAATTCAATTAATTGCAATTTTATATCGAAGCTATCTCATTTTCTAAAAACTAATCTCGTTATATCTGATTTTGCCGTTGACGAACAAATAAAATTTCACTTTATTCCCGCCTACGCTCCTCACTTTGGCGGCTTATGGGAAGCGAGAATAAAATCCGCAAAATTTCATATTAAAAGAATTATTGGCAATAATATTTTTTTTTATACCTACTCCCTCTAACATGGTCAGAGTCTTTTTCTGCTATCTACATTCATACTAGTTCTCGCTACTGTAAGGGCCTATCATTCTGCATTCTATTTCTTTCTTTTATACGTCTCATTCATGCCTGGAATCTATCTAACTGTGTATTACATTTCTATTTTATTTTTAGGACTATAGGGTGCTGTTCCATTTAATAACATTGGAGTCAATTTTGATTTTGATACATTTCTGTTCCTATTTCATTTATAACATTATTTTAAAATTCCTTATTCTTACTTCTAACATTTGCCTTTACTAATATGATTACTATCATAATTAACATTATTATTATCTACTCTCCATACAATTTATTAATACATTGTTAGAATCCTTACTATTCTTTCTCTAACATTGCCTTATTATTACTATAATTACTGTCATGATTAACATTACTGTTTTATTAGCTACATTACATACAATTGTTACATTTCATTTATTGTTGCATATTATTATTATTTCTATTACATTTCCTTCGCTATTTCTAATACTATTTACTTTTCTATTTCCAGGAGTGTCCCGTTTTCTTGCGCGTCCTGCTTCTGTCGTAGCTCTCCGGTAAAAGATTACAGAGGAGGTGGAAGACCACCTCCTCCGTGAGTATTCCTATTCCTCCAAACTTTTGGTTACCAAATTTTTGCAGGTTAGACCTCGATCGCCGTTTTGCCGCTCCACCGTCTCTGGAGGTAAGGTTTTCTTCCTGTCTATATTGGGTGTTCTTTTCTATAAAAGGTTGCCAATATTCTATTTTTTGTAACATCCTTTTGTATTGCTGGCCATTTGCCTTAACCTTTCCCCTTTTTTCTTTCCTCTGGAGACAGCTGTGGCAATAATAATTTAACTTTGAAGAGTTAACTTCGCTTTTAGCACAAGTGGAAGCTATATTAAATAGCCGTCCTCTATATCCAATGTCCACCTCTCCTAACGATTTACTTCCTCTTCCCAGGGCACTTTCTGATTGGTCGGCCGTTGACTGCTTTACCTACTCCGAACATTGAAGACTGCAGCCCCAACAGCCTCACCGCTACATGCGCTTGGAACAAATACGACAGCACTTTTGGCGTCGCTGGCAGCGTGAATACATCAGCGAGCTACAGCACCGAATCAAATAGCGCTCCAATCAAATCATAAAAAGCTACGCATCGGTGACATGGTTCTCCTTCAAGAAGACAATGCCGTCCCTTTGCATTGGCACTTGGGACGAGTCACGCTTCTTCACCCTGGGCCTGACTAACTAACTAATAATAGTCTACATAAATTTGTAATCCTTTTTTATCTATGTACATACGTCACTTCCTTTTTATTTCAAATTTGCATATCATTCCGCTACGATTTCTTGTCTTAGTAACATCTGTATCTTCAGATAAAAGTATTTAGAAAAACCAAATAAGTTTTCTTTAACCTGACTAAATACCGAACAATTATTAAATGGTCAAAGTTTTGCGAGCCATGAGAGAACGTCTCTATAACATATTAACAGACAGGGAGTTATTATTATTATTGAAACAGACAGAATTATACAGATATCTGAATGAAAAGAAATATAAAAGTTCTTCTCATAATTATTATTAAAATAAATAACAACATTGTTAAACTCTTTCTTGATTCTCGCATTAAAAGATTCTTATTCTTCTTAAAAGACTTAATCTAAACATTGATTTATTGGAACGACCTAAAATTTGTGTCTGAGTTCATAGACTAACCTTAAGTTAATAATTACTTCATACCATTGTTAAGTTCTTCTTTACTTAGTACGTATCAATAAGAAACATTGTTGTATGACAGTGGGAAGTCTGAAAGAATCTTACAGTCACTTACATTGTATTTTAATAGATATAACTTTACTTTTACTGTCCTCAGAGTATGGATTTACATTTTTTATGGAACTTATAATATTGTTCGTTATATATAAAATACTACGTGTATTTTAAATATATTTTTATGTTGTTTCCTTGTCATTGAAATTAGAGTTTTAATATATTAGTAAGAGAAACTTTATCCTATGAGGAAGTTTAATTATACTTGTAGGAGGTGACCTCTCGCTTGTAAAGGTACTAAAGTTAAAGGGACTTAATAAAACTCTTGGGATTAATATAAATAGTTTTTGAGAAAAGAATGTAACAAATAAACATACATCTCTTACGAAACCTGTCCTTTATTGGATTTTTTTTATATAACAAAACACAATTTCATAACATTTGTATTCTGAAAGTTCAGTGTAACCATTCTTAAATATTCTATGACGTTAAGAACGTGAATAAATTTTAAAATGTTTTATAATAGTCCAAGAGCCCGGGGCCCCCAGACGTTACTTATTTTCTGAGTAACGAAAAGTATCGTACAGAGTAGTGTTAGGGTATACGTTGAAGGTACGCATACCTGCTAACTTGGGCCGACGGCCAATTCACAGGTACCAGGTGCTAGAGGTACATAAAAATATTGGTCACTTTTCTTAAATTCTGAGAGCTGATTATTATATATGTTTTAAAAAATTGAATTAAAAATTTAAAATTAATAGTGCCAGAACGTTTTCGTGGGCGGTAATTTCCGCCAGACGCTTTAAAGTTTGGAAAAAAATAACCTAAGTTTACTCAAAGTCTGAGTCTTGATTTTTATATATGATATTTAAGAAACTATTTGAACACTATTTCTATGCAGCCAGAAAAAATCTAGGGGCCAAATATCTCCCACACATATTTAAAACTCGCCATGAGTATGCATAAGATCATTATTTACGAGGAATAAGAACCGTCTTTATCTCAAAGTTTAGCAGGCTTTCATGCGATCACTGGCTGTGATTACAATCCTGCTTTTTTTAAGAAAGGTAAACAAAAACCAATTAAGTATTCTTAGAAAAACGAAGGGTACCAAAAAGCAATTTCCAGATTTAGCGAACTGGAGTTATTCAGTAGTAATAGTGAACTTGAGGAAGAAACCTTCAGTACCATCCAAAACTTTATGTGCAATGTCTATAACGTGGCCGGAGTCATTGATGTAGATGCTGCAAGACTTTAATAGCTTATCAACACCTATACTGCTTTTGATGTAAATGAAGAATTTATCCGGAAAAATATTAAAAACTTTGATGCGAGCAACTTACCACCGCGTAAGACTGAACTTCGACAGCAGTTCCGGAGAGCAAATTACATCGCTAGTCTCTGGAATAATGCTCATATGAAGATGCTTGGTATTTTCAGACCAGAGAATAACGGATGGAAGCTAGAAGACAACCGATATCAATTTAATTGATTCGATGGAGTCCAATTACCGCCAGTGAATCGCTTGACAAAAACTTAGATTTTTTTTTAATTTCTTTTATAAATGTGTAGCTATTTTACTCATAAGTATAATATTTTATTTGATTTTACAGAGACAGAAACAAGTAATACTGATATTAATGATGATGATGATGACTTAGAGACTCAATCAGAGTTCTCAAATACCTACCAATGATGACGATGACGAATATTAAAAACTAAAATTTAATTATTAATAAAGAAAGTAATTCATTTTAAATATTTTTTTTATAATATTTACTCTACATATTTCTCTATGTTTTGTAGAAAAATACAAATAAATATTTTTTTACAGGATAAAATGCTAGTAACAAAATTATTTTTTTTGTCACTTTTCGGACGAACCTTCCCACTCATAACTTAATAATTTTTATCATACTGAAATTTATAATTTGTAATTGGGCACTAAAATATGGTTTGATTATTATTTAAAAAAATTACAAGACTGAACCAAAACATAAATTCAAGAGGCCTGTGATATAAAACCGCGAAAACATTATGTGCGCGTTAATACTCATGGCGAGTTTTAAATGTGTGGGAGATATTTGGCCCCTAGATTTTTTCTGGCTGCATAGAAATAGTGTTCAAATAGTTTCTTAAATATCATATATAAAAATCAAGACTCAGACTTTGAGTAAACTTAGGTTATTTTTTTCCAAACTTTAAAGCGTCTGGCGGAAATTACCGCCCACGAAAACGTTCTGGCACTATTAATTTTAAATTTTTAATTCAATTTTTTAAAACATATATAATAATCAGCTCTCAGAATTTAAGAAAAGTGACCAATATTTTTATGTACCTCTAGCACCTGGTACCTGTGAATTGGCCGTCGGCCCAAGTTAGCAGGTATGCGTACCTTCAACGTATACCCTAACACTACTCTGTACGATACTTTTCGTTACTCAGAAAATAAGTAACGTCTGGGGGCCCCGGGCTCTTACTCTATAAGACATACACTTTATTTAATGGTTTCTCAATTATTTATATATATCAAATATATAACTTGGTAACTTTGTATTGATCGTATCATGTATGACATGTTATTTATTTTAATAAAACTTTATTTATTTTTTTGATTCAATATTTTTCTGAAAAAAATATTCTTCTATTGAAAGACCTCAAGAGCTCCATGTCCAAGTGTTTGCAGAATATATTCCAACTTCGTTTTATATTCATCAATACAACCTCCTCACTATTAACTGACGTTGTGAGTATAGAACTTAATGGAAACACTCATGATTGTTTTGAACTCTTGATGATTCTGTATAATAATATAAAGGTATACTTATAAAGGTATCTCTTTCATATGAATCATTTAATATTTAAAATATCGTATTTACATTACTTTTGAAATTATGTTAACGAGAATTTAGTTATAATGATGTGTTTTTTATGAAGTAAATGTATTTATAAGCAATTAAATATTTTATGATCTCCCAATGGCAGTATGACCAGTTTTCATAGTCGTAATTGTAATATTAATTGAAGAATGAAATTAAACCTCTCATGATTACATGTATTCACCGTGCGGGTGAAGACTGCGGACTTGCGACCCAGGTGTAGGTTTAAGGGGTTCCCAAGTGTATAAGAAGCACTAAGGAGGATTAATTAAGTGTAATTATTTTCTGTATGCTATATACTGTAATGATAATTTATTTATAATGATCGATCAAATTTCAAGCAACATAAAATAAATTTGACACAAAGTAATAAACGATTATAAATTATTTTTAATGACATGAATATGAAAGGGCTCGTGGGCCTCGACACTGACAGATATGGAGACTTATAAATAAAATTATGTTTTATGATTGATGTCATCTGAAAAGAACGTGTTTAATAAAACTCGATAGTCACTGAAGGAACAGATTACAGACAATTACTATATAATATACTCATAACAAGTAATACATGAGCTTATATAATGAGATTCGTACTTGAAAACATTTTGAGATAATATTCCAAATATGTTTATTTTATTTATCATAGAATACCTGTTTACAGTCGTATTTGTCTTTGTAACACGATATTATATAGTAATGGTTGTTTCAATTTGATCTTAAATTTTCTCATCATAAGTTATTATAGACATAAAATATCCTTTACTAAAAGATAATTATTAAGTTATACTATATTTAAGATTATAACTATATCTATATGTAGATTTTACAATTACAGTTCTGATAATATCTATATTATTCGTCGAGAGAATCCCTTTTGTCATGAAACAGATTTAATTAATGTTGCGTGTTGTAATTGTTGTAATAGTTGTTTTATGTTATTAATTTAAACAATTGAAATTAATTATTTACTTTATTGTTTAATCATTCAATATGGCGAATAGATTTAAATGACAACATGATTTATATGTTTAATTTATCAAGGTGGATTTGTTTTAGTGATGTTAGGGTATCTGCAGCATAAAGGATGTTGTAGATGTTTTGAAATACTTGGTTTTTTGAGA